GACGGAATAGCTCTTTCTTATCATATATCAGCCCTGCGCACAACCAAAGCCATTGCTCTCCTGCCTGCAATCCATTCCCAGATACAATCTTCCAACTCAGAAAAAAACGGCTGCTAACCTGATCCAACTCTGCATTTTTTCTCATTTCCTTAGTCCACCAGTTGACACAGGTAATTGTAGTCTGCACACCATTTACGAACCATACGGAGATCCAGCATCTTCTCTTTACAGAATGCTACAAGATTTACACCCCTGGAGTCTTCCACGATTCCCTTTTTGTACTTGACGGAATAGCTCTTTCTTTTGTACTCATTTTAACTGGGGTTAAAAATTATTCACGTAATTTTTAAATAAAATTACGTATGAGGAAATAATTAGACTTACAAGACTGAAATGAATTAACGTTGTATACCTGCACTGTCGCTCCATGTAGACTGCTGCCTTATGTTGTATTTTTAACCAGTTCGCTGTTAGGAAAATCGCAAGTTCTGTTCAAATCAGATTGAACAGCGTACCTGTCACACTGAAGGATGGTGAATAACGACCCCTAAGGGGCAACATAAAACACAAAGACTGGTATAGTCCTTAGAGCAGATATTTTCCCTTTGCACCCAACCCCAAATCTATTGCAATCTATTAAAATGTAAATGTAATTTTTAATTGTCAAGAAAAAGCTTTATATAAAGTAAAAATAAGGGCATTAGCTAGTATTTGAAATGTCCTTGAATTTTGTTTTATTATTTTCTTGATGGCCTGTAACAAAAGAGAAGAATTGAATCGTTAAGAATTGAAAAGATAGCATTTAAATCCCTTTGTTCATTAATAGAAAGGGAGAAAGTTGTTGTGGATCTCATAAGATATGTTGAGGGGGTAGCTACTCGAAGAGAAGAAAGTGTCCCCATCCTTTACTTTCCTGAAACAGCCCCGCTGTGATCCTAATGCGACAAAGCAGTGAGAAGATAAGTAACCCATCAATCACCCCTTTTGATTTTCAACTCATTCTGTGGGGGTCTGGAAATTGGAAAAAGGTCGCTTTGTCGTATGTGTCTCGGGGGTTACGGTTTCAGCCCAAATTTCACCCCAACGAGAGTCTGCCGACGCTAACAGATGACGATGCCTTTTCCTGTGGAACGTATCTCTCTCGGGGCAAACGGATGAACTGGTTAAGATAAATTCCAAGAATTAATTTGAAATGAACTGAAGAGGTAAACAATTAATTTATCGGGATATTTTGTTTCAAACATTTCTCTGAAATACGAGTATTAGGAAAGCTAAACATATTATTACTTGTACTTAATAAATCAACAGCATTTTTTAACTAATTCTTTTTGTCACATTATTTTAATTAGGGATTATTTTTGAGGATGTTTTATTTTACAAAACGTTCTGAAAATCACGATAGGGCTTATTTTCGGAGGATTTCTTATTTTACAAAAAGTTCCGAAAATCACGATAGGGCTTATTTTCGGAGGATTTCTTATTTTACAAAAAGTTCCGAAAATCACGATAAGGCTCATTTTCGGAGGATGTCTTATTTTCAGAAAAAGACGATATCTTCTTTATAAAAAAATCTTATAAATATTTCTAGAAAATATGTATCATAATCTTCCATAATTTCATACTGAGTATCAGTTTATACCCTTCAAGTGCATGTATTTAACAGATGGTCTTGAAATATGGCATATATTAGACTGCAAAGAAAATGCAAAAACAGGTTCAATAATACAGTTTACACTGTAGTTTATTTTGGGCTAATATTGTAAATTTTAAAATTGTTTCAGAGATTAAATGTTTTATTTTAGATTGGCTTAGAACATGAAATAAATTGAATATACTTAAAAGTAATGTGTGAGGGGGTGGTACTTAATGTATTAGCATAATTTGGTGATTTTCTGCAAAATAAAAAATAAATAAATAAAAGGAATGACTACTTAAAATTGCAAAATATCATTATTGGATGTATATATTTTGAATTTTAATTAGGTATTTTCCTCTAAAATATATCTGTGTAAACAGAGTTATGTTTCTTTTACATTTGTGGAAATTTCATGTGGATCACTTCAGAATGTATTCAAAGCAATTGTTCCCTTTTTTTGTGTGATTTTGTGTCGGAATACTCTATTTCTGCAGGAATTTAGCTGCAGTTTCTTTCATTGCAGGCAAATCCCCCTGTTTAGTTTAAAATTGAAATTAAAACATGATATATAACGTATCATAATTTGTCAAGAAAATTGTTGAAACTTGGAACACAATAAAACAAATGTGTATAAAATTGCATTGCTGCTTGTTAAAACTGAAGAATTTTTATATTCATAATGGCCAGAGTTCTGCACATTCTGAAAATTTGGCATCTTCAATAAGATATTTGTACTAATGCATAAGTACCAGAAAAACAGAGAAAGAGGGAGAATGTGATTCAAAGCTACAAAGAATTCTGTATAATCAGAAAACAATGTAGTTGTTTTATAATTGTGCAAAATTGTTAGAATTTGTATGTTATTTGACAGTAGTATTCATGTGTATTAGAATAGTACAGCCGACAGTAATTAAATTTATGTTACAATGAATTATTTTAGTTATAGGTGTATTACCTTAGTGTTAATATTGTTTTAAAATAGGAGGAATTGATATTTACAGGTTATCCCGTCAATCATGAAACTGTCACCAAGCAGTGCCATTTAGAGCCAATTGCAGATAAACATGACAGTACACTGATGACATATGTGCTTTGGTGTAATTGACTGGTTCTTGATAAGCCATTTTTTGTTTTTATGAAAAAAGATAAAAAGTTACCGTAATTTCCGGAAGAAACGCTGCGACGTTTACGTGTTTAAAACTTAAATTTTCAGCGGGTGCGGCGTTTAGGTGCACTAAAAATAAAATATTTCCTATGATGGTCATTGTACATAGTTTGGATGGCCTTGTCATTGCGCATAGATTGGTGGTGTTCCCACACAAAAGACCACTCAGTTGCTTTTTGCGAACGTTATTTTGTTTACGTTCTTTCCCTTGAACGGACCTACATGCCTTATTCATCCTAAACGAGATCTCAGAACAATAACATTCTTCCCCCTTTCAAATCACATTCTCATCAGTTTGAATAGTCTCTCTCCTCTGCCATTCGATGAATCTTCCAGGACCCATCCTCTTTCCACCCCTGCCTTTTCTGCAATTTTTTTCAAAGGCGGACATGACTCCACCTGCCTCGTAATAACGAACTCTGACGTATTTCTCCTTCAGCATGAATGGATTTTTCTTGGCATTCTGCCAAATACAGATCCCATCAGTTAGGGTACAAGTACTTGTTGGATAGTTTTTAATTAGGGAGCGGAAAATTTTTGAAAATGTCTCTAAACGGCACAGAAGCTATACATTTCTTACCTTTAATTTATTTTTGAGTTATGGTTTCATTTCATGCATTTTTCTTAACTGGTAAGTCATATATCAGGACTTAGGTTGAGTTTTGCGTCTATACGGCCCACGACGATTTGTCACACGCAATTTAATCTATTGCGGCGTTTCTGTGTAATTTAAATTTTTTTCCCGCCATTTTTCTCAAGTGCGGCGTTTACTCTGATGCGGCCTTTCTTCCGGAAATTACGGTAACTGTTATTGGTATACTTTAAATAAAAATATTAAAATTTGGGACCTGCCTTCTACAGAACAAAAAGCAGTACATTATATTCAAATTTTTTGAATCCGTCCATCCACAAAAGGTGTATTAATGGGTATGATAATGTCAGCTGAACATTAATAGACAGGAACAATTAATGCAAGGGAGGGAGAGTTTATCATACTAAACAGAGCTTCTGTTAAAATCAGAAGGCTTACCAAAACAATAGAAACCAATGAATTCTGTTTTTTAAGAAGGGCAAAAATGAAGTGGTCAAATATAGGTTGTTTATTAAATAAAAGAGAGGACTTCCTCAGGAATGATTGACATACATTGGCAGGAATCCATGAAATTGCACAGTCAACGGAATAATACATATCTACAGAGGAACTTTTTAAACCATGTTGAAAAGTATAACAGCTTTATATTCAAACATAGAAATCTTTTGTGTATTCGATCTTTTGAAAAGATTGCCTTTAAGAAAAAGTTTTAAAGTATTAGCTTTTATTTACTTTCCAGAATTGTACTTACCATGTATGATTCTTAAATATAATATTTTTCTAAATAGTAGCTCATAAAATTGCAAGAAAAATACACCAGTGTCAAATTTAAAATTAAATAAAAAAGCCACCTTAGGTTGATATGGGTTTTGAATAAAACTTTTGATTTCAAAGGTATTTTTCAGGAGCCGGAAAAATTTCCTCTTGAAGAAGAAGGTTTATATATAAATAAATTTTTAAATCAACAGAGCTTTATTTAAAAGTCTGTGGCAAACTGAGGTTGCTTTTTGCCTTATTTTAAATATTGTTGATTAATATTTGTATTTTATGTGTGTGTGTGTTTAGGAAATATATTTCCTGAAATATTAAAGTAAATGTATAATTCTGAGTCTTTTAATAATAATAAAAAAAAATTCAGTCAACTGTGTTAACATTTTATTAGGTGAAAGTCTATCAATCACCTGGTATATCACCAGGTAAAACTGTGTTCTTTTAAACCTAAAAAGATTGTTTTGAGAAGCTAACTTTTATCAGTAGCACACTACCAATGACCAGGCAGATTAAAATTTTTGAATGCTGGTGTTTCATTCCCATGATGAAAATGCCTTGACTGTGTAGGGTTTCCATGGTTCTTCCATGGGTAATATGAATAGTGTCAATCTTGCCAGTGTCCTCCATGGGTAATATGAATAAAAGCTAGTGTCTTATCTTTTACCATTCTTCTGCAATGGCATCAGTCTTAAGACAGATAAATTTTAATTGCTGCATTGTAATAAATAACCTTCTTTAGCCTTCATATAGTGAAATATGAAAATACTTTGGTAAAAATTTTTATAATTCCAATTCTAATTCAAACTGTAGTAATTTTTTTTTTTTTTTAATTATAGGTAGTACATTGCATTTTAGGTCTTGTGAAAGCTAGTGCTCTTGTCACTTCCATTCAGGTGGCATCACGTGTCATTCAAGCATGGGGTATTATGAATCCTATTGAAAATGTAAGCCTGTTTCTTTTTGTAATTTTCATTAGAGGACTTGAGTATCACTTTTTTGTTAAATTTTTAAACCTTTAAAGAGTGCTTCATATTACACTGATCATCAAAGTTAAAGGATATTGACAGAAATAAAACATGACTTATTCTTAATGAAAAATTATTAATAGAAATTTGTGCATTAGTTAAAATAAATTACAATGTTTGGCAGTTGATTATTTGTAAAATATTGAAATTAAAGCCAAATTTATGGAAATTGGGAAATGATGGGAAAATGAAGTCACCTCTTGTGGAAAACATTTTTCTTTAATGTGGTGTATGGTCACCTCGGACAGATATGCATGCCTCACATTTTGATAATGTAGACTTTACCAAAGTGTTGATCAAGTCTTGGGAAATTGCACACCCCTGTTCTAAAAATGCATTTTTCAGCTCACAGAGGGTATAAGGCATCCCACACATGCTCAATCCTGTTCAAGTCGGGTGAGTAAGGTGGCCAGTCCATTTGAGTGATATCATCTGTTTACATGTATTCTGACACCATATATGCTCAATGAGCCCGAGCATTGTTATCCATTAGCAAAAACTCTGGGCCAACAGCATCCCTAAATAGTCTAACTTGGGGTTCCAATAACTTGCCCACATATCTCCAAGCGGTTATAGAAACTCTCTGAAAGATATGCAACTCGGTATGACCATTTATTGTGATTCCTCCGCAAACCATGAAACTGTGGTCACAAAAATGAGATATTTCATGGACAAGGAAAGGCAAGTTGTAGTAAGAATTGGAGGCTCCCTTCAGCCCACCTGAACGTGAGTGTCCCCATAGCTCAAAAGAAGGGGCCCCGTTACTCCACAAACAAGAGCAGCCAGTAACCCAGCCACCCCCAAACAACAAACAAAAATACTAAATCAAAAATAAGTAAGCACATCTAACACAAAATTACAGACCAACAAACAAACACAAAAAAAAAAAAAAAAAAAAAAAAAAACCCATAAACACAAATTTACAACATAAAACACTACAGATATCCAAAACCCATATAAATACATGTGTTCCTTCCTCTCTTTAGATCAGTGCTCCGCAAACCTTTTCTCACCTGCAACGCACAAAAAATCTTTCTGGAATTTCGTGGCACACAACCAAAGAGTTCCGAGTTATCAGGGAAGTGCCGAAAAAATTCAAATGCTGACACACTTACAATCACACACACAACAGTGAAATATATAAAAACATTTAAAATAGACATTATTAAGGAAAAAAAAAAAATTTCATTGTGTATTAAATACATGATAAAAAATTGCAAAATTTGAAATATATTTTGATTTTGATTGCAGCACACCTATATCCTACTCATGGCACACCGGTTGCGGAGCACTGCTTTAGATCAAAACACATCTAGAATCGCTGTTTAGGCTGTATATGAACTCATCAGTAAAAAGTACTCGGGCTCAGTTATCTTTGCACCATTGACCAGTACAACCACATAAGTGTAAATGGGCTCCTTCAGAAGCTGGAGTGAGTGAGGCACAAGCCATTGGCTTCTTTGCATACAGTCCAACCTCGTTAAGCCTTGTTATTAGAATGGCTAATTCAAGTTCCTGTGGCAACTTGAAGGTTTTAAACAAACTCTCTTGTACTCGCTACTCAGTTTCTTCGAGCCAGCAATGAGAGAAAACAGTCTTCTAATGCAGTTGTTGCTTTCGTTTGCCCTTGACCAAGCTGTCTGTCAACTGATCTGGTATTTGAAAAGTGGCTCCAAACTCTTAGTATGACACCTGGAGGTATATTCAAATCTTGAAGCGACTTCGATTTGTGTTTGATCTCAGTTCTACCAGTTATTTGCTATTTTTGACCTTCACTTAAATGATGCCTTTGAGTCATAACTACTGAATGCTGACACTAATCATTGAATACATTTAGATTGAAAAAGATCTTTTGCATGTACTACACAGGTATTGTAACTATAAAGGTCACTGTTTATTATTTATTATTAAGCATTATGCAATTTGAAATACATTTAAAACTTTTTAATATATTCATAAATATGCATTGCCCCCCCCTCAATTTAATTTTTCAATATTTTTACTTCCTTGTATGAAGGAAAAGAAGTATTGTAATCGCATAAATTTTCGGGTATCATATTTCGACAAAAATATCCATTTTGACTTCTATTGAATGCAATTTAATGATGTTTTTGCATGACATCTGTACATACGGACAAAATAAAGGACTCTTCCCTCCCAAAAAAATTGGATTGCAAAAAAAGATTTAAAATGGATTCAGAAGAGAACTTATTTTTTGTGACATCTATATCTCGCATAACTTGAAAACAAATAGCGTCAGAACGTTAAAATTTTGTATATAGGACTTGCTATAACATGTAGCTGTGCACCTCCCTTTTTGGTTGCCATTAGCCACACCTAAAGTATATAAATATGTATGTATTTTTACCCACTCTGTTACTTGGCTCCATGAACTCAGTTTTTTTTTTTTTTTTTTTTTTTTATTATTCTTATATGTTGGTAAATTGTGCATTTTTTGCTTAAAAAATGATTGAAGTATGCTATTATCTTCTGGTTAAGGTTTTGATCCTAATAGTTAATCTGCACACAATATTTACAAAATTATCAATAATTTAAAAGTTGTTTAAGTGCGGCTAAGCCTAACTTTTTTAAAGCATGTAGCAGCCATATTTGTCTACATTTGAAACAGCAGAATAGTGAATTAAGTCAGTTTCTGCACCTTGAGTGTCCTTTTTGCCGAGCAGGACCAAACGGAAACTTTCAGTTTTGTGTATAAAAAAATTTGCCTTCTTGTCCGCTGGCTGATTGCTTGTTTTTGCGTAGAAACTCTAATTTTAATTGTAAAATATTTTCAAATTGTTTTAACTGTATTTGGTATTTTATATTTTTCTATGTTTTCAATTTTTAATAAATATATTTTGAGGTTTTATGTATTTTTTTGCCTTGCCTCGAAGTGAGAACTGAAGTAATTGAGTGACAAATATGTCTAATGAAATTTGAGGAAATAAGTTTAAATGAAATGCAGAAAAAAAATGTATATAATTTAATATTCAGTGCAAGGAAGTCTGGGTGTATGCATCAGATTTTTTTAACAGTAGTACAAATTATTTCATACCTGAAAAATATGCAAGCCTAAGCCTTTAAATCTTCCCCTATTGAAATGATTCCCATATTTGGTACTATTCGGTTTTGAGGGCCGTAAAAAAATTGCAGCGAAAATGTATGTGCATGCAAAAGCGCCAAATCTAGCAAATGCGCCCATTTAACAGTGCGCCAAATCTAGCGTACGCGTTGATTTTCAGATTGCGTAAGTTTATGTAGTTCTATATTTCTTAAGAGCCATTGACATACTAGTTTAAATTTTAAATCCTTTTTTGATATCCTATGGATTTAACAATTTGGGAATTGCCGATAACAAAAAGTTTGGCAATAGAATTTTGGGTAAAGTGCAGAATCACCCACTGTTTGGATGCGTTTTTAAGAATTGCACATACTTCGGTATCCTGTGGTACACATCGACCTATTTTCAACTTCAAAAAAAAAAAAAATTCCCCAGAATTGCACAAAAATGGCACTGCGCACACACTTGACCCTTTCATCTATGTTACACATTGACCTATTTTCACTTAAAAAAGTGAAAGAAAATTGACAAAAATCCAAGTTGTTTTTACCCTTGTAAGAAGCAGCAAACCAATAAGTGGGCTATTCTGCACTTTACTGAGAATTTTTTCAAAGAAAAGGCATCATTCATTATAGAAAATTACGTTTGAACAACCAGAAATTATGCTTTAGCGATAAGTCGGTAGCGAAATAGCGATTGCAGGCATCCATTCAGTTTATGTTTAGCAAATTTTATATAAATTATAAGATGATCTGAAATAGTTATTTACTCTTATGCTTCCATTCAGTCATGTTTAGCCTTTTTCAAATAAATTATAATAATAAAATAAGTGTTATATGAAATTAACCTTTCATCTAAATTAAAACATCAATCTTAGATAGTTATTTACTATTATACTTCCTTTCTTGCAGCAATTATTAGGGTTGCCGCAATTATTTTTGGCAGCATTGGCATCAACAATAGTTTGGCGATTTTTTACGGCTCTCGAAACCGAATAGTACCCCATATTTTAATAGGTGGGTATTTAGCTATTGCTGGGATTCAAACTGAACACCTTTTACATAACAAGAAAAATGTTTTTGATTTGCATCTTTATCTTTCTGAATCACACTTTTTTCCCCCTTTCTTCTTTCATTCTTTTCAGTTACTGAAAAGTGTACTAATGTGAGGCTTTTATAAAAGTAGTTTTTTGTTAAATGTAGATATTGCATTCAGTTATTATTTGTTTTTAAACTTTTGCTGCATTTAGCGGCATTTTTCTGTAGCTTTTTCCAATTTTTTCGTTTTAATTTCTTACCTAAAAAACTATAATGAAGTATTTTATTTTCTTCTCTTTACATCTTCCAAAAAAAAAAAAAAAAAAAAAATATTTATTGAAAATAATTGTAATATTTATATTTTGATGTGCAAAATTATAAAATGTGATTATAATAGTATCTGTGGTTGCATAAATGGAGATTTATAAATCACATAACCTTTTGTAGTTACTAAAGAATTTATCTTCTCTCCTAGGTACATAATTCTCCAACTCTTGCACTTGCAATCATTGCTTGGTCAATTAGTGAAATTACTAGGTATTCATTTTATTGTTGTAATCTTTTGGGATTACCATCAAAAACACTTACATGGTGCAGGTGTGTAAAATTTTCTTTTTTATGAGTCTGATTTATAAAACACATTGGCAAAACAGTTTTGTTTTTGTTATCAATCTCAATAATTATTATTCTCTTATTTCTTAACAGCTTTTCTGATTAAATGTATATTAATTAGGTAAAAAATAGGTATTATTTAATTAAAGTGTCAGTGTGTTTAATAATGAAATATATTTCTAAATTGAGAAATATATATTTTGTGAGATTGTATGACTAATAATTTGAATATGAAGTGATATCTAAAAGTTCGCAGAACTTTTTTAGGAACAGAGGTATGTGGAATTATGTTTTTAATTACATGGGGTTAAAGGCACCCAAAACAAGATGCAATTGTAAATCTGTATACAATTATTTATATCGCCGAAAGTAAGAAAATATTGTATGTGGTCAAACAAGGCAAGAGAAAACAATAGGAAAAGCTATCGTGTATCAATTCTTTGAGCATATGTGTGCATTATTTATGATCAGTTGAGAAAGTGAAATAAATAAAGGTAATAACTCATGAATCTTGACCAGAATTAAACTCATTAAGCTGTCTATAATTAAATCAAGAATTTAAATGTCCATTGTATATCTTGTATTTTTATGAAAAATTTCTTTTCCAGAAGTAAAATGAAATGTCTAATATGTTTGTTTTTCATCTTTAACACCCATTATTTATCATGTTTTTGCATGTTTTGTATGTCTGTGCATATGTTTGCAACATAATTTGGTCTTGTTTTTATTGTTAAATAAATAAGAGAAAATCTCTTCCAAGTTAAATAGCATAATTGCCTATGTATGATTTATAAACGAAATATTTCTATTTTGCATTAGTGTTGTTTATTTGGATAAAATTTAGCTGTTTGCTTATTTTAATAAATGTACATTTTTATCTGTAATTATTAGAAAAACTAAAAGAACTGTGAATTATTGAAATGAACATTCTGAATACTGTAGATAATCACTGATATATTTAATTTTATTTATTTTAATTGGTGTTTTTTTCTCATTTATTTCAATAAATAGAGTAATATACATATATAACTGTTTATCTGTGAAATTCTGAATAGGATTATAAAACCAATTTGATTATATTATTTTTTAAACCCAAATATAAATGATAACCTGTGTTAAATAATTATTTTAACCCATGTTCAGTGTTTTCCAATCCAGTTTTACATAAAACCAAAGCTTGTTTTTATTACATTTCAGAAGGAATTTTTATTTTAATGAAATTTATGGTACCCTCATATCATGCATTGGAATTTGTTATCTATATGTCTTCATGTTGCTTCGTCACATTCTACCAATTAACACAATAGTTCAAGCTTTTCATTATTTAGACCAGTTTTCGTATAGTAACTAATGTTTATTGATTAATGTTGTTGTTCGATGTTATGCAAATTGTATTTCTTTCTTTGTACCAAGGAGCGGCGCAGACACAAATTTGTTAGGTTTTTAAAGCTCGCGTTTAGAGCTTTGAGCTTGCTGTGAATTACTGGAGTTTCAACTAAGCAGAGGTTCTTCTGAGTTTGTGTGGTAAGCTGCTACCGAAGTCGGAGTTTGCAGTGTGCTCTTCGCCGTTCCTCAACCAACTTACTTGTTTGAAAGTCAATAAAGAAGTTTCGGTCAACGTTATGACTCTGAGGTTTCTTGGGTTCTATACTACGAAGTAATATCAAGTCAATTTACAGTCCACTATTTTTAAAGAATGGGACGTACAGCTGTATTTAGTAAATTTTCAAGACATTATTATAAAATATGTAAATTAAAAATATTCACCTTATGAAATTCACCTTCGTTTTCTGTTGAATATTGTATTTCTATTAATTTCATGAAAATATAAACTTTAAACTCTCAAGTATCATTAATATTTTTACGAAGCCTGGATTAGAATAAAAGCATTTAAAAACTGCATACATACTTCTGAATGTTCAAATGAAAGAAAGAGTTGCATATCGCCCATTTTAAATCAAAATTTAGAACTAATTAATTTTTAGAAGAAAAGGCATTTCAAAAACTAGGGCTCTTGTGCCAAAACATGAACTGAGTTGAAAATGTAAAGAAAAAGTTCTTGAAAGATATTAAAATAACTCTTTTAATGATTATGCAAAAGTGAAAATAGCTAGAATTTATTGCTTTATAGGTTGTAGATTGTTTATTGTAAATACAACTTTTATATGCACTAGGAGGGATATTCGTTTCACTTGTTTTACTGTAATATTAACTTTATTGCAATACACTAGAAACAAAGCCACAATATTTCAAGATATATCTAATTAATTAAGGCTATTTCTTGCCTCACTTCATGTGTATTGTTTTAAATCATGGGTGTCTAAAGTGCGGCCCAAAAGTCTAAAATGTGGTCCAAACGCAAATTATATAAAACTATTTAAATGTACATGTTTTTATTAAAAAAATAAATGCTTGAATTTGATTCATATATAATCGGTTCGTTGGCATTTATTTTTAAATAAAAACATATTAGTATGTTATGATGTATTAACTCCAAAGTGACATTCAACTGAAAGAAAAATTTGAAAATGTTTCTTTACTGGAGTTTCATAAAGATTACCTACCTCACGATAAATATCCTAATTTTCACAATCATGCGTTATTAATATCTTCAGCTTTTGGCAGTACCTATATTTGTGAACAGTTATTTTCAAGAATGAAGCATACAAAAACAAAAATAGGACAAAGATCACTGGTAAACATCTTGAAAATGCAATTCAGAATTGCAACCTCGTCTGTTTGAACACGCTATCGATTTGCTTGTTCAACGTTGGTGTTGGTGTATTTAATTATGGCAAAGCACACGAGGGCTATCTGCCTAAGGGGAGGGATGCCTTTCGTGGAAGACTTTTTAAGGGAAACTGGCTCGTATACACGTTACACATGGGGAAAACCACGAAAACGCCCATGCAGCCAGCCCGCTCGCGGGATTCGAACCTCGGACCGAACTACCAGTGTTCAGCGACTTTACCGCTCGGCCGCTGGTGGGCCTTTGCTTGTTCAACAAAAGCAAATTCATCCATCTCATTAATTTGAATTTTTTCCATCTTGATGAAATCCAAACTAAATGAAATGAAACTTTTACAAATTAATAATGAATACGTACCTATACATATCTAATTCAAATTTTAAAAAATTAATAAAAGTTAATTTATTTTAATGAAAACAACACAGAGCTAATATTTATTTCAATTTGTTAAAAAATATTGTATGTGTGGGCCTGCAATTTTTTTTTTCCTTTGCAATGCGGTCCTCAAACAGTTATAGTTTAGACACCCATGTTTTAAATAGAGCATATGTAATAGTTTGGTGTGTTAGTTTTCAACTCTATTCTGAAAATAATGAATTTTCCTTCTTTTTTAGATATTCATTTTTCGTGGCATTATACCCTGCAGGAGTTTTTGTAAGTATTTCTTCTAAATTTTTATTCATTCTTTGATAAACATGATTATTTTATTTAAATTATGTATTTATATCTTTGGCTGAAGATGAGAACTTTTTTTTTTTTTTCCCACAGAGTGAAGTCTCAAATATCTTTCTTGCATTGGATACAATAAAAAGGAAGCAGTTATTTTCCCTAACCCTTCCAAATCCTATGAACATTTCATTTAGTTTCTACTATGCAAATATATTAATTTTGCTATCATATATTCCATGTGAGTATCAATAAATTAGTATTATTTCCATTTGAAAAACATTTTTAAGGTCGAGAGGGTAGTACAGTAGAAGTCCAGAAATCCGCAACGCATGGGACCAAAGGTTGTGCGGATTTTAGGATTTTTCGAATTTCAGGACAAGAAAAATAATATTCAGACTAAAAGTGCAAAATAAGGCGTATTAGATACATTTAATTAAATTGTTATATACATTAATACATTATATGCATTAAATTATTATTACATATATAAACTGATTATATTATATTGTTCTTTTACATTAGGTTCTTCTATTTTTAAATCAGCATGAATCTGCTCCCCCTTTTCTCTCAGGAGTAGTCCTGAAATAGGTACCCCATCACTCCGCAGCTGCCAGAACCACTCGTACAAGACAGCATCGAGGTTTGCCTATTTTGCCTCATGTAAAGATTTCCGATTTCGGATTCCGGTGTTAGAACACTGTTGCTGTAAAATTTCAACAGCTTTTCTCTATTGTTCTGTATATCATACACAGTTCGTGTTGCAAATCCATATGATTCTGCTATAAACCGAGCAGAAGCACCTCTCTTTAGCAGAATTTCCACTTTTTTCATTACCGTCAATGCAACGTGTTTATGTTTTTCACTGTTTCAAGCAGTAAAATCACGAGTGCGTTTCTTATCTGTCACTGTATTAAAAAACGCTGAAATTTAAACCATACTTAATTTATCCACAAAATATCCGGAATAAAAAAAACAACATCACTAAACAATCTCGTGAAATAACAAAGCTCAGAAAGTACAACACATGAAGCATGAAATTGAAAGAAGAGTTTAGTGAATCATCTGCTTTTTTACCTCGATGCAGATTGGAGGGGAAAAAAAAACTCTTATCATGATGTCAATAATTTGGTATTTCCATTATGACTCATTATTATTTGGTAATTAATGACGTATTTTTTTTTCCGATAATTTCACGTTTTTTCTTCGATATTTCATACTCCATGTTGCGGTTTCCGGAAGCTTTAAACTAAATGTTTATATTTTGAGAGGCAACGCGGATTTCAAGTCTGTAGATTTACAGTATTTCACTGTAATAATTTTTGTACTTAATATTTTTTTTAAAAAATTGCTTACACTTTTACATAAAATAAATTCTAGAAGAAATTTGTGGAGTGCGGTAACTAATAGAAGTGTATGTTTTTGTAAAGAATGCATCAAAATTTTCCATTACTATGAAACTTATACCAGGAGAAAGTAGGATTAATCTTGGTATTAATGAAAGTTAATCTTATCAACAAGCTAATCCATTACATTCTGTGTTTATATTATTAATTCTATATTTGAATTATGCATTACATTTTAGAGAATGCAGTGAAATACAAATATTGAAACCTTTTTTCCCTCTGATATTTTTAAACCTATATCTTCTATGTGACCATATTGCTACAGAACCCTCCCCCTTTTTTTAACATGGTCCATCAATGTTGCATAATGACATAACATCCAGAAACTACTTATATAAGGCACATTCATGAAAAAAAAGAAAAAAAAAAAACACTGCAGTTTATGAGAATAGGTGAAACAAAATATTTGAGTGGGACATCATCATGTGTATGAGAAACAGTTGTTCTAATTCTCCCTTCCCCCACGTTCTCAACTCTCTCCCCCTCCTCTTTGCCTCGTCTCACTCATTTACTTCCCATTTCCCACATTCCTACCATCTCAGAAGCCAACAACCTGCTTTTATCCGCCTTTTTGCCCCAAATCCCATCTTCCCTTTTGCGCCCGTCCCTCTCGCTCCTTCCCCCTTCACACTCACACCACTCTATCTCTTTCCTTCTGGACTTTCCACAGTTCCCCTTTGCCGAAACCATTATATCTCCATAACCGTAATAATCCTTTACTCTGATGAGGAAGAGATAGTATAGTGTTCCAGGTTCTCTCCAGATACAAGTACGCTGACAGTCAATGTCAAGATAAATTTCGACTCTTCTGTAGAAAGCATGGTGCTCCACTGAAATCTGGTCAAATGCGTATATAGTCTACACGATGCTAAACATTCTCTCTTCTTTACTGCAGTGAGCAGGACGCAAGCAGTGGGTTTTCTGGCATACGGCGCTATCATGAAGGCATCGGAAAACTGTGGACCGTGAAACTTGGGTTCCAGTGGTAGCAGACAGCTTACGTGAGAGCTGTGAAACTGTAGCAGTCCTGGGTCACTACTCTGTAAATAACGACTTTTATTTGCCTTTGTGAATCTTGATCGACCTTGTCCAGGTCTTCTTGATAGGAATCCAGTGTCCCGAAATTGTTTCGACAAACTGCAGATGACAATGTGCGCTCAATTGAGCTCTTTAGTACCTGCTCTTGTGATTGACCTACCTTCAATCTGCTGATAATTATCTATCTCATTCCGTAATTCGCACGCTCGTGGGTACGCATTTTACCTGACACATTATAAAATTTATCCAACTCATGTGAGAAACACGATGAATGTTGTAAACGAGTACTTATATCCCTGCATTATCACAGCTCCGCAGACACGCACGGGTACGCATGTATATTCGACTCTGAATATTTTCACAATTCTTCGGCAGTATAATTAGGACCTTTGTTTCAACACTTTTCGTAAAAATACAGACTTTGCAAATACTCTTAATTTTGCACACGAGTGTATATATATATATGTATATTTTTAAAAAGTTATTACTGAATACACTGAATTCTGTTTCATTCATGAATTTCATCATTTTTTCGTATCGTTTAATTTAAATATTCTGTATAAATATTTCAACTTTTCCTCTATACTCGTTCTTCTCTTTCTTTTCATTATTTTCAGATCACGTTTTAAGGCTTTCCCCGTAAGGGAATTTGCTTAACGTTATTTATCCCCAGTAATCGAGAAGTTACCGCATTCATGAATTGTGGTGTTTAGATTAAACGTTAATGTCTCATCCAACTCAGCATGTGAATATAACTCTTCCTGTCGCCAATTTATCACGCCAAGTCTGTGTTTATAGCAACCCCGGCTCCAGAGACAAAGGCCTATGTTTTACGTAGACAAGGACCATTTATTCTGTCTAATTCCCGACTGACTCGGCGGCGATGGGGCCCGTGATGAATGGTGTGCCCCCGCCAACCACCAGGCGGCGCTGCCAGCGCCCTTTGTCACGTCACTCCTGCTGACGGGCGAACTGCTATCTATCATTCTTGATGGAACAAAACAGGGCAGCCACTTTTTTTTATCTTTTATTCTTGGGTTAGAATGAATGATTACGAAAGGAGAAACGAGTCTTTATTATATACTATTATTGGCGATAAATAAAAAAAAATTGGCGCGGAAACATAAAAGCTATAATTATAGACAAACTGGTGCGTTGTGTAAAAAGATCTTTGACGGTTTTTTATATTTGAATCTGCGAGATTCTGATGTTGCCAAGAGCATTAAAAATTCCATATAATTTCTTTTTTAAAATAAAATGCTTGTTGTGAATTTTTTAAATTTAAGTGAAATTTTGATTTGCAAGATTTGAAAAAACAAAAAGCAACACTAAAAATGGGAATACTTTCCAAAATGGCCCATTCTTGTCAGTTGATTGAAAAACGGTTAGTTCTGCTACTATTTAAAATTTTTATCCATCCAAATTATTAGTTTCCGTTAATTTAACTCAAAGACTGGGAATGTATAACCGTAAAATTAACATAGTATAAAAATTTTAGAGGATTAGAAATGCATTTGTAACGCATTAAATATGCATTTAATTTTTGAAATGCATTTAATATATTTGATAGTTTACTATACTATATAGTAGAAATCTAAATATCCTTACTACCAGTAAATATCCGTACTACGCTTTTATCCGGATAACAGAAAAATCCAGAATGGTGTGGATTATTTTAAATATATGAAAGTTAAATTACTATCTATGTAATGCAAGCTAAAATATTTTACTTTTTCTTATCATACTTTATTTCAATAAAGTGTACTATAGTTAAAGTATTTTTTCTTCTTCAATGGCCAGACAGCCCAGGATGGGTTCTTGCCTTCCTCAGAATCGAATTCCAAGCTCTTCTATCCCTGCCCATGGACATCAAATTGGTTATTTCTAAAATTCTTAAGTCTGTTTCCAAACAGTCGAGTCACCTAAGATTAGGTCTCCTGATCTTTTTAGTTACTCGATTTTCATCCATTCTTCACAGGTGTCCTGCCCATTTAATTCTCTGAATCCTTTTATATTTTACTATATCTCTTTCTTTAAAGGATTTATTTAGTTCTTCTTCTCCAGATATTGTTACATTTTATGCCAGCAAAAATACTTCTCAAAATTTTTCTTTCAAAAACAGAAATGATACTTATGGGTTTTTTTTTTTTTTTTTTTTTCCATTGCTCAGCTCTCAGCAGAGTACGTAAGAATGGGTCTGATTAAGCTTTTGTAAATTAAGATCGTTTTTCTAAAGCATTTTTTATTTCCTTAAAATTAATTCAAAAACAGATCTTTCGATAAAATTAAACAGTTCATGATATATAACTGTAGCAAATATATACATATATATATATTCATATAAATGTATCATATATAATTGTTTATTACGTAATAAAAATCTTGTTATCTACGCCGACGTTTCCCAATCTGAGCTCTTCTATCCCTGGGGGGGGAGGGTAAGTGATGGTTTTGTCAGGGGTGGATACGCGAAAAATCATCAAAAGTGGCGGAAAATAATTTTATTAAAGTACATTAGTAGGTGAAAAAAAATAATCAGAAAATTTTTGAATTTGGCATTGTGTGAAAGAAAATCAATTTCAACTATTCCTCTTGTGACTATTGTTGACAGAAAATTCAATGTAATAAGTTGTAACTAGCCCTAGTAACAACCTGCCGTATTACTCGATTTCTTGCATCGTATGCAGCCACTCCAGTCCCTGACAGTCACAGCCTATTGTATACAGTGACTGGCAGCTAATTGTATTTTCAGTATGAAAATGAATGATAAAGTCAGGTGTATAGCTTTTTTTCTTTAAATGAAGGATCCCCAAATGGATCGATATTTACTTCCTGGAGGTCGATGAAATTTCAGAGAGGGTCAGTGATGATCAAATGTCGACTGTGGGTCGATAGCTGAATGTGCACCGGCAGTTGATCGGTATAATGAAGGTACCACAGCTCACAAAAGAATTATTAAGGAAAATGATAATTAATAGTTTATTGATATAAAGCTATATCATGCAATAAGGAAGAAATCATGTATAATAAATACAAGGGGAAAAATGCCCTAAAATTATTTAACGGATTTTTAAAATTCATTAATATTTAAAAATATATCCAGATGTTTTATGCAACAAGCGCTAGGTAAAAAAGCAAAAATCAGAAACACGAAACAAAATAAAAAAAATAAAAAGAACGCAATACTAATGAGCAATTAATGAGATTATCCGT